GCTCGGCTCGCTAGTGCGGCCGCACGGCGGGGGCCGGAAGTGCCGGCTTGGGAGAGGCGGGCCGGGATCGGGCTGCAGCTCCGGCGGCGCCATGAAGCGGGACGTGCGCATCCTGCTGTTGGGCGAGGGTAGGCGCCCGGCGGCTGTGGCGGGGGTCTTGGGGCCGCCGGGGTCGAGGTCAGAACGAGGGGTCTTGAGGCCGCCGGGGTCGGAGTGAGGGCGGAGGTCTTGGGGCCGCTGGGGTCGGGGTCAGGGCGGGGGGTCTTGGGGCCGCTGGGGTCATGGTAGGGGTCAGGGCCGGGCCTGTCTGGGGCGGGCAGGGGCACCGCGACCTTGAACTGCCACGCTGACCCCGCCGCCCCGCGCAGCCCAGGTGGGGAAGACGTCGCTGATCCTGTCGCTGGTGGGCGAGGAGTTCCCCGAGGAGGTAAGGGCGGCGGACGGCGCCTGGGAGGAACTGAGGCCCCGCGGGTTCTCGGGGCCGCCCCAGGGACGACCTCCCTCCGTCCCGGGCTGCCCTCATGGCCTGGTCTGCACCAGGTCCCTCCCCGGGCAGAAGAGATCACCATCCCCGCAGATGTCACCCCAGAGAGGGTTCCTACCCACATCGTCGATTACTCAGGTAGAGCCCCCCGCCCCACCGTTCTGCCCAGGAGCGGGCATTGCGGGCAGGTCTGCAGTGAGGTCTCTTCCTTGGTCCAGAAGCTGAACAGACGGTTGAGGAACTGCAAGATGAGATTCTCAAGGTACAGTATGTTCTGAGGGCTCAGGAAGCGGGTGCCAGGCACGGCCCCACGCTCAGGCCCTGGGAGTGGGCTGCTGCCTCGGCCTGCTCGGCTTGGCTCCCTGAGTGATTGGATTAAGGTGCTCAGGGCGTCCTCAGCCTAGATAATTCTGCTATGACCTCTGTGCACTGAGAGTTGTTGGGTTTCCCGTGACACACCGTGCTGGGAGCTGGGGAGAAAAGGGACCATCAGTTCCTCCTGTCTGTGTGGCTGGCCTGCCCCATGGCTCTCCATGCCGAGCGTTCACTGTTCTGGTGGACCCTGCAGTGGGCCCTTCAAAGAGCCCTGTGCCCCATAGTCCAGTCCAGTGCCCTGGGCCTCTGGGCCTCAGTGGGGCCATGATCAGAGCTGCAAGCTGCGCAGGCCTTTGTCCATCTGTTACTGGGAGCGTGTGCCTGAACCGAGCTCGGGGTGGGGGGAGCTGCCCCTGTCGCCTCTACCGCAACCTGGGCACCACTGGGAAGGGGGACAGGCCCCAGCTCCTTAGGGGCAGCTTTCTTGCCATCATTGCGGTTTGTGCTGGTGTCCTCATCACCCCCTCTGCCCACAGTGACATGGGAGTGAAGGGGGTGGCTATTTCTGTCCTGGGTCCTCCAGGGGAGTCACTGGCTGGAGCTGCAGTGCTGGAGCCTGGTGTCTGCAGTGGAAGTGGGCAGGAAAGGGCTTGTCTAAGGTTTGAGCAGCTGACCGCCAGTCCCGGTGTGACGTGGCGGGGGAGCCCAGCTGGAGGGGTACCGGGGAGGGGTGGGCTTCCCAGGCCTCTGAGCCGTGCCCGATGAGCCTGTGAGCACTGGGGGCGGGGTGGAGCAGGAGGCCTCTGGTCACGCGATGCCACGCTCCTTTGTCCACAGGCGAACGTGGTGTGTGTGGTGTATGATGTGTCTGAGGAGGCCACCATCGAGAAGGTGAGGGAGAGAGCTCCCCATCCGTCCCTGCTTCCTCCTGCCGGCGCCCAGCTCAGTCATTGGCCCGTCTTCTGCACAGACCCCAGGCCCACCCAGCTGACTTGGGCTCTGGGCAACTCGCACCCTGGCCAGCCCCATCTCTAACGAGTGTTTTGGGGAGCCTCATGGAGCCACCCCGGGTGCGGGGGGCCTGTGGCCAGGACCCTCACAGCTGCCCCAGTGAGCCGCTGTGACCCTGCCTCTCTGCAGAGAGCATAAATGGCCACAAATCTGAACCACGTTAGGCGTATGAAGGGGCTGCCGACCCCTGGCCCTTTGGGGATGTTTGGGATCTGCTAGGATCAGTTGAGGTCCTGTCGGCTGCTCTGTCCCACTGGCTTCATTCCCAGTGGTCATAACTTTGGCCCTCAGGGGGCCTTGACCTCCTGTGTCTCTTCGAGCCAGGCATGAGTTCCAGGTGGGAGCCGAGGGTCAGGCAGGCCTGTTTTTTCACAGCCAAGCCTTGCCTTTCAGATCCGAACCAAATGGATCCCACTGGTGAATGGGGGGACTGAGAAGCCCAGGTAATGCACAGGCCCAGGGGGGCTGGGATCTGCCAGCTCCCCATCCCTGGTGACTGTGGGCTTCTCCCTCAGGGTCCCCATCATCTTGGTGGGCAACAAGTCAGACCTCCGGCCGGGGAGCTCCATGGAGGCCGTGCTGCCCATCATGAGCCAGTTCCCTGAGATCGAGACCTGTGTGGAGGTGAGGGTGGGCGGGCTGGGTGGGGCACTGAGGTGGAGAAGGGGCGGGGTGGGGTAGAGCTCAGAGGCAAGGCCATGCAGCAGGTGTTCATGCGCTGGTGGCCCTGGGAGCTCAAGACAGGCCAGCTATCTCATTGAAGGCTGCTTCTCGGGAGCGGGGGCTGTTGACCCCCTGTGCCTTTGTCTTCCTCGGGGCTCCTTGGAGTTTCCTGCCATCAGGCACCTGTCTGAGTCTGTTCCCGCGTCTCCCAGTGTTCTGCCAAGAACCTGAGGAACATCTCGGAGCTGTTCTACTATGCACAGAAGGCCGTGCTGCACCCCACAGCACCGCTCTACGACCCCGAGGCCAAGCAGGTAGGCATCAGGTGTGGTTGGGCAGGGGGAGCGGGTGGGAGCAGTAGGGGACACATGCTAAACTAGCTGTCCCTGCAGCTGAGGCCCCCATGCATCCAGGCCCTCACGCGCATCTTCAGGCTCTCGGACCAGGATCTGGACCAGGCGCTCAGTGACGAGGAGCTCAATGCTTTCCAGGTGCGGCCCCTCCGGCTCCTGGTCGTGCCCACCCTTCTCGGGCTGCAGCCATGCTCCACACCTTGGCTGCCCTTAACAGCTGGGCATGGTTGTTAACAACCAAAGCAGTTGCTGCGTTGGCTGGCTGACTAACGGTGACTTTCTCTCGGAGGCAGAAATCCTGCTTCGGGCACCCCCTGGCCCCGCAGGCCCTGGAGGATGTGAAGATGGTGGTGTGCAAGAACGTGGCGGGAGGCGTGCAGGACGACCAACTGACCCTGGATGGTGAGGCCGTGTGCGCTGCCTGTCCCCCAGGTGTGTGGAAGGGCCCAGCTGTGCCTGGTGCTACCCCCTTCTCTGTCCCTTCTTGAACAGGCTTTCTCTTCTTGAACACGCTGTTCGTGCAACGTGGCCGCCATGAGACCACGTGGACCGTCCTGCGGCGTTTTGGCTACGGCAACACACTCGAGCTGACGGATGACTACCTCTACCCGCCGTGAGTGCTGGTGGGGCTCAGGGCTCACCGTCTTCTCAGTGTTAGGCCTGGGGGCCCTTGGGACGTCTGGCTTGGGGTGGGGTTGGAGCCCTTGCTCTGGGCAGAGGCTGGGTTGGGTGGGACTGGGGGCCTGTCAGGACGGCCTGTGCAGGGGGTGGGCAGCCTGAGATGCACACGAGCACATGGCCCCTCGGCTGCCACCACACACCTGCCTGCTTTGCCAACGGGCGCTGGGCGGGGGGTGGGAATGCAGGGCCTGCCTGGTCCCACAGGGAGGGTCTGACCGCACAGACGGGCAGGGCAACATGCAGAAGGCGTGTGGAGCATGGTGGGCACCAGGCTCCCCTGGGAACCCGACAGCCCCCCGCGGCCCCTACAGGCTCCACGTGCCCCCTGGCTGCAGCACAGAGCTCAACCACTTTGGCTACCAGTTTGTGCAGAGAATGTTTGAGAAGCACGACCAGGTGAGGGTGCTGTGCCCCTGTGTGTCCCCCCCACTCCCCCAGCACACGTCATTGCGGCCTGTCTTCCCACAGGACCGCGATGGTGCCCTCTCGCCTGCGGAGCTGCAGAGCCTCTTCAGCGTGTTCCCGGCTGCCCCATGGGGCCCCCAGCTCCCACGTGGTGTCCGCACCAAGGCTGGCCGGCTGCCCCTGCACGGGTACCTCTGCCAATGGACGTAAGCACAGCCCCCGCCCACTGCACCACCACCCACCGTGCCTGCCCTGCCCCGCCGTGACGCCACCCTTCTTGCCCCCAGCCTGGTGACCTACTTGGATGTTCGGCGCTGTCTCGAGCTCCTGGGCTACCTGGGCTATCCCATCCTCTGCGAGCAGGACTCTCAGGCCCACGCCATCACAGGTGGGTGCCTGCCTGCCTTCATGCTGGACCCCAGCCTAGCGCCTCCCAGCAGCCCCTCACCTGCCCTCATCTTCGCTCTCTGCCCACAGTCACCCGTGAGAAGAAGCTGGACCAGGAGAAGGGACAGACGCAGAGAAACGTACTCCTGTGCAAGGTGGTGGGGGCCTGCGGAGTGGGCAAGTCAGCCTTCCTGCAGGCCTTCCTCGGCCGCGGCCTGGGAGTGAGTGTCCACCTGTGCTGGGCGAGGGGACCCAGCTCCTACCTGGGGCCTCCAGGGGCAGGGGCTCTGGGGAACGTCAGGGCCAGCGAGCTTCAGGTACCTCCCTCCTCAGCACCAGGACACTGGGGAGGCCCCCGAGGAACCCACCACCTGCGTCATCGACACGGTGCAAGTCCACGGGCAGGAGAAGTACCTGATAGTGAGTGCCGGGTGTGCCCACAGTAGATCCCAGTGCATGCTGGCGGGAGCTGTCCCGGCGCAGCCCTGGGGGACCGAGCCCCGTGCCCCACCCTGAGGCCACCCTCTGTCCAGCTGTGCGAGGTGGACGCAGACAGCCTGCTGGCCACCGCACCCGATGCCACCTGCGATGTTGCCTGCTTGATGTTCAGCGGCAGCGATCCCGCATCCTTTGCGCTCTGTGCCAGCGTCTACAAGGCAAGGCCCAGCCTGCCCTGGGGGTCCACCTGCCCCCTTGCCATGGCTGCCCCACGACAGCACCTTCACGTGGTCCTCTCCCCACAGCGCCACTACATGGACGGGCAGACGCCTTGCCTCTTCGTCTCCTCTAAGGCCGACCTGCCCGAAAGCATCTCGCCGCCTGGCCTGGCCCCGGCTGAGTTCTGCCGCCGGCACCGGCTGCCTGCCCCCACCCCTTTCTCCTGCGCAGGCCCAGCTGAACCCAGCTCGGCCATCTTCACCCGGCTCGCCACCATGGCCACTTTCCCGTGGGTACCAGCACCTCAGCCCCTGTGGTGGGAGGCCTATCCCTGTCCTGGGGCACTGATGTCCTGTCACCAGGAGAGTGGGACAGTTTCGTGGCAGGACCGGAGTCGGTCGGGGTTGCAGGGTGGGCCTTGGTCCTTTGCTGATGCCCGGGCGGGGCCCTCCAGGGCCTGGAGTTCCGCTGTGCTGGACACTGACTAGGAGCAGCTCTCTGGGGCTCCATGACTTTCCGAGAGGGGATGCGGGGGGGACAGCAGCAAGTGCCTGGACGGCACCCCAAGGGTGTCTCCAGCCAGCCCATCTCTCCTGCAGACACCTGGCTCACGGGGAGCTGCACACCACCTCCTTCTGGCTGCGGGTGACCCTGGGGGCCGTCGGGGTTGCTGTCGCTGCCGTGCTCAGTTTTTCGCTCTACAGGGTCCTGGTGAAGAGCCGATGAGGCCCCTGGGCCCTGCAGTCTGATCTCAGGGCACCCAGGGTGCTGGTGTGGGACCACTGCTCATGGGGCTTCCTTCTGTCTGAACTTTGCTTCTGAGGACAGTGCGCACTGCCCTGCCCCTGCCCGAGCCCAGCGGTGGCCCGCTGGTCCTAGCACCCTGTGTCCTGCCTTGCTGCAGGTGCCAAGCATTGCCCACCTTTGTGGGCATCGTGTGTTGGAGGGACTAGGGGGCACGAGTGAGGAAGCCAGTGACCCCAGACCCGAATTCTCAGGGCTCCACCATTTCTTCCTGGTCCCAGGCAGCCAGTGGGTATGAAAGGTCAGAGGGCAGAGCTGTCAGCCAAAGGCGGGAAGTGGGGGCAGGAAATGGCTAGACCATTATGCGGATCCCCTCCTCTCCCCCAATTTGGAGATGCGTTCACCCCTGACAGAAGACATGAAGTTGGGTTTTCTGATTAAACTTCACTCGTGTCTTCTCCATGTCAGACCCTGTTTTCTGAAGATGACTTTTCTTGAATCAACTAGAACGTGTCTTTTGTTTTGGTGTGGACTGGAAACGTCACTCCTGGCCCCCATGCATCCCATCCGGGCCTGGGTCCCCATCCTGAGGCCTCACTCAGGCCAGTGTAAGGTCCAGTTATGGCCCTGCTGGGGCTTGGGAGCCTCTGCATCCATCAAGGTTCATGCTGGCCTGAGGGTGAGAGGCTGGAGGGGCCAGGTGTGCCCCGCAGCACTGTCCACTCCCCAGACAGCAGCCTGGCTGGGCTGCGCTGAGGGTCTGGATTCTGAGGTGGGGCTGGGGTGCTCCAAGGTCCAGCACGTCCTGCTTCTGGTGTGCAGAGTGGTCCTGGCCTGGGGAGCTGCCCTGTTCTTCCTCACCTCCCCACCAGAGGCCTCTGCCCCTCCCACTGGGCAGAGGACAGCCAGAGAGCCCCAGCCTGAGGGCAGGGGACAAAGAACCCTTCTTGGGCTGAGGAGGGGGCCTGGCTCGGCTTTGGGCTTCAGCACCTGCTGTCCCAGGTGCTTATGGGGCGTGCGTTCTGGGGCCTGGAGCAGACGCAGCGTGCGGTGTGGCTGGGTGGAGGACCTCAGCCACCCAGATGAATGCCTGTTATCCTAACTGCCATCAGTCTTTCTGTGCAAGGCAGGCCTTCCAGACCAAGGCCCCTCCTGGAGCCCTGATGTGTAGGTTGTGGGAGCTGCTTACCCCCCAGGGATGCTCAGGCCTGACCCAGAAGGGTCTGGGTTTGGACCCTGAAGTTGTCCCTCCACCATCCCTACCAGCCTTCCAGCTCCTGGCCCACAGCCCGGCGGTGTGGTTCTGGCCTGTTTCGGGGCAGGACAGGATGCTATTTCTAGCCTGTGTCTTCTCCTGAGGCTCAGCTGCCCGGAGTGATGGCTCCACAGCATCAGGGTTCTGAGCGGCCCATGGAGGAGCTGCTATGGCTACACATCCCTGTAGTCTGTCACTTCTGTAGTTGGGGTCTCCTTGCCCTCCCCAGGAAGTAGGGCCCATCCCTGTCCTACTTGCAGCCTTGTCCCTTGGGAGTTCTGCCCTAATGTCCACAGGTCTGCTTGGGCCAGAGTGCCCTCCTGGGGCTGGAGGCACCACTGTCTAGCATTGTGGCTGCAGGAGTGGTCAGGGGCCTCCAGCCCCAGGGGTGGGCCATGGTTGGTCTCTGAGCAGGGGCAGCACAGGAGGCCTTCTCCCCTCTGCTAGTTGCCCTGTTGGCCTGGCACCTACTGGTGGGGGGCTGGTGCCTTCTTACTGCCTGACTACGGACAGGGACGAGCGTGTCTGGCAAGCAGGCAACTTAAGGGAGCCCTGGCCTGGGGAGTCACAGGCTGTGTGGTGGTCCCAGAAGGCTTCCTGAGGAGGTGGCTTCGGTTCTGAGGCCGCAGCCCTGGGCAAAGGGGCATGTGCGGCAGGGGCTTGGGTACCGCCCCATGACTTAGTTTCCCAGCTACTGTCCTGGCGGGACAAGCAGCTGCACACAGCCCAGAGTGGGGAGCTCTTCCCGAGCAGTGCTTAGCCGGGCGGGGGGGATGGGATGCTGGCCAAGGCCATTGCTGCCAGGAGCGCATCCGTGTGCAGGGTGTGCGCGTGTTCCGGCCATGAGTGGCGGGGCTGGCAGCAGCGGTGTGTGCAGTGGGGGCGGGCAGCTCGGTGACGTGGCTCTGTGCGGAGCAGAGCAGGCGGAGCAGGCGGGCCGGGGCGGAGCGGAGTCCTCCGCAGAGAAGCCCCTCCCCTCCCGGCCGCGGCCGCTGACCCCGGCCCCCGGCCCGGCCTGGCTCTATGGACAGGAGCTCGCCCAGCCTGGCTCTATGGACAGGAGCTCGCTGCTGCAGCTTATCCAGGAGCAGGTGTGTGGTGGGGGGGAGGGCGCTGGCACCGCCCTGTTGGGCCCTCAGCCGTTGCCTAGGCTTGCGGGTGGGGGGATGGAGCTCTAGAAAGCCCCACCCCAGCCCCCGTGTGGTACCCATTTCTCCAAGTCCACTCCTTGCATGACCTCTGCCCCCGACCTGAGACCCCAGGAGAGGACAAGCCAGACCAGGGCGCCTGGGGAGGAATGAAAGGGAGGGCGGTTGTTCTCAGACTTAGCTCTATCCTTCCATGGTCAGGGCAGAAATAAGGTGGGGAGACCTCTGGAGAGCTGGAGAAGCTGGAGGCCTGAGACCTGGGCGCTAGAGCCCTGCAGCTCCTGGGACCACGTGGGCACAGGGGCCTGGCCTGAGGGTGCTCAGAGCCTGCCTCCCCTAGCTGGCCTGGCCCAGCCCTGTGGTCTGGGGGCTGGGCCCACCCTCAGGCCTTGGCTGGCGGTCTCCTCACCCCAGCAGCTGGATCCTGACAACACAGGCTTCATCGGTGCGGACACCTTCACTGGCCTGGTGCACAGCCATGAGCTGCCCCTGGACCCGGCCAAGCTGGACATGCTTGTGGCCCTGGCCCAGAGCAACGAGAGGGGTCAGGTCTGCTACCAGGAGTTGGTAGACCTGGTCAGTGTCACGGTGGGTGTGCAGCAGGGGCGGGGTCCCAGGCCTTGGCTGGCCAAGTGCTGTGCTGGAAGGCCGGGGTTGGGTGGGCAGGCGGCCCCTCCTCCCTGCCTCCCACTGGGGAGGGCTGTGGACGTGGGGCAGGGCCTCATACCCTGTGAGGAGCTGGGCAGGCCACATGGGCAGGGCGGCTGTGGGTGTAGTACCGTGGCCCACGCTTAGGCCCCGCCCCCCAGATCAGCAGCAAGCGCTCAAGCAGCTTCAAGCACGCCATCGCCAATGGACAGCGGGCACTGCCCCGGGACGGGCTGCTGGACGAGCCGGGCCTGGGTGTCTACAAGCGGTTTGTGCGCTACGTGGCCTATGAGATCCTGCCCCGAGAGGTGGACCGCCACTGGTACTTCTACCGGCATCGCAGTTGCCCACCCCCGGTGTTTATGGCCTCGGTCACCCTCGCCCAGGTGGGCCTGCCCACGTGCCACCTGGGAACCACCCGTGTCACTGGCTTGCCTAGCCCTAACACCCATCTCCCCCAGATTGTCGTGTTCCTGTGCTACGGGGCCCGCCTCAACAAGTGGGTGCTGCAGACCTACCATCCCGAGTACATGAGGAGCCCCCTCGTGTACCACCCCGGCCACCGCGCCCGGGCCTGGCGCTTCCTCACCTACATGTTCATGCACGTCGGGTGAGTGAGGCCCCTCCGGTACCCCTGTGATTGAATCAGGAGGGCTCAGCCCCTTTAGATGGGGCTGGGGCCTGGAGGCCCGACAGCTGACCTCACTCCTCGCACCCGTTTGCCCCCACATGGCCAGGTTGGAGCAGCTGGGGTTCAACGCGCTCCTGCAGCTGATGATCGGGGTGCCCCTGGAGATGGTGCACGGCCTGCTCCGCATCAGCCTGCTCTACCTGGCTGGCGTGCTGGCAGGTGAGCAGGCGTGTGCCCCCTGGCCACCTTGTTGGCAGGCCTCACTCTCATGGCCCCCCTTTGTTCACACAGGCTCCCTGACCGTCTCCATCACTGACATGCGGGCCCCTGTGGTGGGGGGCTCCGGCGGGGTCTATGCCCTGTGCTCAGCACACCTGGCCAACGTCGTCATGGTAACGGGGCAACCACGGGCAGGGTGTGGGGAGGGGCAAACGAGGCCTGCCTCACGGCCTTTCTGTCTCACACCCCACAGAACTGGGCTGGGATGAGGTGTCCGTACAAGCTGCTGAGGATGGTGCTGGCCCTGGTGTGCAGTGAGTAGGGGCTGGGGGGACTGGAGGGCCTGAGCCTATGGCCAGGGTGCCTCCCACCTGCTGCTTCCCTCTGCAGTGAGCTCCGAGGTGGGCCGGGCCGTGTGGCTGCGCTTCTCCCCGCCACTGCCTGCCTCGGGCCCGCAGCCCAGCTTCATGGCGCACCTGGCGGGCGCTGTGGTGGGAGTCAGCATGGGCCTGACCATCCTGCGCAGCTACGAGGAGCGCCTGCGAGACCAGTGCGGCTGGTGGGTGGTGCTGCTCGCCTATGGCACCTTCCTGCTTTTCGCCATCTTCTGGAACATCTTCGCCTACGACCTGCTGGGCGCCCACATCCCCCCACCGCCGTAACGGGCTTCTGGAGCTACACAGGCCAGGGCGAAGGTGTGTGTGGGCCAGCCACCAGGCGGGCCTGCACATCCGCCCTCCGTGAATGTACGTCTCAAGGCTGCTGCTTCTCCCCTGTGGGGCGGGTGGCCCCTGTGGCCCCAAGTCCAGGCTGAGCCTTACACCAGCCCTGGTGCCCCCTCCCAGGCCTGGGGGTGTAGGACTCTTGGGCTGGGCCTGGTGGTGGAGGTCCCCAAGGGTGGCCCCAGAGGAGACCCTGCCTCCCAGCCTCCCCACCCAGGATTTGCGGTCTGAGCCTTTTTGGAGAATGAATAAATATTTTACACAGCACCAGGTGGCTGTACCAGGGCTCTGGGGGCTGGTCTGGCCTCCCCCTACTTGCTGAGCAGACCGTGAGGGCCCTTCCCTCCATGCAGGCGGCCTGGGCTCCCCCTTGCTCTCTCCACCTGGTATGAGGTATGTTTGTAGGAGGTAGGAGGTTCTGGGCCAGGGCTGAGGGTCTCACCGTCAGGGGAGAGCTCAGCAGGCATTTACTGAGTGCCTACAGCAGCTGGCTCCTGCTCTGCCAGCTGGCCAACCAGAGACCTGTGGCCTGAGGATGCGCGGCAGGTGAGCAGGCCCTGGGCCACAGCCACGTTCAATCAGCCTGGGTCCTGTGCTTCTTGGCTGGCCTAGTGCCCTCAGGGGTGGCTGGGCCAGGGCCGAGGTTGGGCAGCAGGTCGGGGCACAGCTTCTGCCCCACAACCCAGGTCCACAGTGCTGTCTCCACGTGGTGAGGGGTCCACACCCCTGAGGTGCTGCCTAGGGAGGAACAGGAGGAGTCTGGGGACCAGGGGCCCTGGCCTCCCTCCCCTGCTGGACAGCTTTGCACACTGCCCCTTCACTGGGTCCTGGACGTCCTCACCTCTGCTCAGGGCTGTGGCACACTCCCGCCCCCGACCCAGGTACAACATGTAGTGCTTGAGAGTGTACTGCAGAGCTAGCAGGCCAGGCACTGCGGCCACTGCCTCGTGGGACATGAATGCTGCCTCCTCGGGGACTCCAGCAGCAAGGACCGCTGCGGATAGGAAGGGCCAGCACTCAGCCTCTGCCACTCTTGGGACAATCTTGGCGTGGGGCTGCCATTCCCAGTGACCGCTGGTGTCATGGACATGACCATCTGCCCTTTTTACAGACAAGGGCGCTACCAGGCCAGGTCCCGCCCGCGACCCTGCTGGGGCGCCCAGCTCTCCCAACTAACCCGAGGCGGTGGCGGGGCCCACGCCGCGGAGGGTGCACAATTCCGTGACAATTCCCTGACCTGACCGCTGCCTGCAGGTCCGGCAGCAGGCGGAAGGCGGTGGCCGAGCGCTACACCACCAGCTCGGGGGCATTGGAGGTCACGAGGTGCTGCAGGCGCGGCCGGAAGCGGCCTCTCTGGGGCCAGGCCAGATTGTGGGTCACGGGTGGTGGTCCTCGCCAGGGACCCCCACCCCCGCCGCGCCCCGCCGCGCCCCGGCCCGCGAGGCTCCGCACCACGCCATGACGACCTGCTGCCACAAGGGAGCCGCGCCCCACGCCGCGGGGACTCCGCCCCCGAGGAAGCCGCGCCCCACGCCGCAGGGACTCGCCCCCCGAGGAAGCCGCGCCCACGCCGCGGGGACCCGCCTCCCGGAGAAGGCCACGCCCACACAGCGAGGACCCGCCTCCTGGAGGAAGCCACGCCCCATGCCGCGGGGACCGCCCCCAGGAGGAGCCCAAGTCCCGCGCCGCGAGGACGCGCCCACAGGAGGAGGGCACGGCCCGCCGAGACCCCGCCCCCCACGTGAGAAGCCCCTCACCACCAGCTTCCACGCTAGCAGCCGCTTTAGGTCATCTAGTGTCACGTGCTTCTCTGCGCGGTCCTCGATGGCTGCGGGCAACTCCACTCGATACCTGGGGAAGGACGGTGACGGGGAGTTCGGGCAGCGGGAGTCGCCCGCCCTACCGACCCCTCCCACCGGCCTACCATCGATCCAGGGCTTCCAGCCGCCCCTGGGGGTCCGGGTGGGCCCGCAGCACCTCCCCCTGGCGCGCCAGGATGGCGGCCCAGAGATTCGAGTCCTCACAGCCCCACAACCCGCGGGCGGCTGCCATGTTCGGGCGCTGGGCCGGGGCCTGGGAGAGTCGGGGGCGGGGCCTCGGAGAGTTGGGGGCGGGATCAGGGAGAGTCGGGGCGAGCTTCTGGAAGGACAACCCCTAAACGCGCGTGGCTGAGAGCGTCTGGGGCCGCCCTCGACGATCACGCAGACTTCCGACGCCGCGGGTTGCGTCTCCGGGGACGCACTCTGCCGGCCTGCCCCGCCCCCGCAGTGTGTCGGGCGCACGCGCGGCCCCGCCCGCCCGCGCGTGTCTGTCCGGCCTGCGGGCCCCGCCCCACGCGCCCGGAAATTCCGGTGGCGGATCGGTGGACCGGGCCCGAGCGCATCGCGGGCGGGCGGCCGGGCCGGGCGCGGAGCCTGGGAGCGGAGCCCAGGCCGTGCCGCGCGGCGCCATGAAGGGCAAGGAGGAGAAGGAGGGCGGCGCGCGGCTGGGCGCCGGCGGCGGGAGCCCCGAGAAGAGCCCGAGTGCGCAGGAGCTCAAGGAGCAGGGCAACCGGCTCTTCGTGGGCCGCAAGTACCCGGAGGCGGCGGCCTGCTACGGTCGCGCCATCGTGAGTGTGCCCGCGCCGGGGGAGGGGCCGGCGTCCGGGCGGAGAGGGGCGGGGCCGCGGCTTCGGCTCCGAGTCCTCCCGCAAGCCCCTGCCCGGCCGCCCCCGCCGCTCCTTCGGAGGATTTTGGCTCTTCCGGAGGGCGTTTGGGCTTTGAGAACTCAGTGATGATCTTGTTCCAAAGGGGCCAAGGCCGCGGCTCTCCAGCCGGTGCTGGTTGCCGGAGAACTGTGGCGGCTGGGAGCTTCAGGGTGCTTGATGCCTGTCGGGCGGGGGGCCAGGGATCCTTGCCCCTTGAGGACCGCAGGCCGAAAGCTGGAATCTCCCTAAGTCTGGGAAACTTGCGGTTACAAAACCTATTGGAGTCAAGAGAGTGGGCTCAGATAGGCTTCGGGGCCAGCACTCCATCTCCACCAACTCTCAGGACCCAGGGACTTTGAGGCTGAGAAATCTCTAGTGTCTTGATTCCAGCTATGGGCCACAAGCTGGGATAGAGGGAGCAGGCTGAGCTCACACCCTCATGCTGGCTGGCCCTTCCTTGGTCCCCAGACCCGGAATCCCCTGGTAGCGGTGTATTACACCAACCGGGCACTCTGCTACCTGAAGATGCAGCAGCACGAGCAGGCCCTGGCCGACTGCCGGCGCGCCCTGGAGCTGGACGGGCAGTCTGTGAAGGCGCACTTCTTCTTGGGGCAGTGCCAGCTGGAGATGGAGAGCTATGATGAGGCCATTGCCAATCTGCAGCGAGGTGGGCCTACAGGCTTGGCTGGTTATGGGGGTGCCTGAGAACAGGGGGGTGGACTGGCCAGAGGGTGACATGAGGCCCCCATTCCCCAGCCTACAACTTGGCCAAAGAGCAGCGGCTCAACTTTGGAGACGACATCCCCAGTGCCCTGCGCATCGCCAAGAAGAAGCGCTGGAACAGCATTGAGGAAAGGCGCATCAACCAGGAGAGCGAGCTGCACTCCTACCTCACGCGGCTCATCACAGCTGAGCGTGAGAGGTAGGCTGTGGTGGTGGCAGGCTCCAGGGCACCCTCCCCAAGTCACCACTCTGAGATCAACTCTGAGTCACAAACACAAGTATTTATTGAAGGCCAACACTGGCAAGCAGGAGACAGGAGATGAGGTCTGAATAAGCCCGAGGGTGGCAGGCACTCTGACCTCTCCTGGCCAGACCCATCTCTGACCAGCTCCTTGGTCGACTTCCAGGGAGCTGGAAGAGTGTCAGCGGAACCACAGGGGTGATGAAGACGATGGTCATCTCCGGACCCAGCAGGCCTGCATTGAGGCCAAGCACGTGAGGGTGCCCTGGCCCACGTGTGGGTCTGTGTGTGCATGCATGCAATGTGAGGGTGCTGCTGGTTCCTGTTGGGTGTGTGTCTGCGCCTGGGGAAGGGAAATGGAGTGTTTACCCCACGCGTAGCTGCTCGCTTCTTCACAGGACAAGTTCTTGGCAGACATGGATGAGCTCTTCTCCCAGGTGGACGAGAAGAGAAAGGTGTGCTGTCTGTTTCCTGGGGCCTGTGGGTAGCCGGAATCAGAGCAGTATCCCCTTCCTGCTCCCTGACCTGACCTGTGTGTTGCAGAAGCGAGACATCCCCGACTACCTTTGTGGCAAAATCAGCTTTGAGCTGATGCGGGAACCCTGCATCACACCCAGCGGCATCACTTACGACCGCAAGGACATCGAGGAGCACCTGCAGGTGAGGGAGGACTAGCGGGTGTTGGGGGCAGGGCCTGGATCCACTGACCACCTTCTGACCCTGTTGTCACTACAGCGCGTGGGCCACTTTGACCCTGTGACCCGGAGCCCCCTGACCCAGGAGCAGCTCATCCCTAACCTGGCCATGAAAGAGGTCATCGATGCATTCATCTCCGAGAACGGCTGGGTGGAGGACTACTGAGGCAGGGCCAGTGCAAGGGCCACTCGCCCCGCTTTGCCCGGTAACCTGGCCCTGGAGGGCCTTGGGGCCGTAGCCCTGGCCCCTGTACAGAGTTCATGTCCCTGAATTCTTGCCCCAGTGTCCCCATGCCACTCTCCGTCAGTTCTGATGCTGGGCCATCAGCCTCCCCCGTCCCCTTTCTGGGCTGGAAACAGCAGGTGAGGGTGGGCTGGGCTGAGGCTGCCGCTGCCACCACTGTCCCTGTAATAAAATCTGTGAGCACTATAGGGGCACGTGCTGGTGTGCGATGGGCCCACTGGCTAGCTGAGGAAGGTAGAGATGAAGACACTGGTGTCAAGGTTGAGTGTGGCATGCCACCATCGGTCAGGGAAATACAGCACCTGGTGGGGATAGGAGGGGGAACATAGGAGTCAGGTGGGGGCCCTCAGCCCAATACAGCCTGGCCCCCTTCTGCCAGCCACTGACCTCACCAGCCTGGATGGTGCACTCCAGGGGCCGCGCAGATGGTTCCAGGGCTGGGTATGTGTCCCGGAACCAGGCTAGCGTGGTCTTGTTGGGGTGGAACTCTGGTGTCTTCTCAGGGGGGTACAGGAACCAGCGCTAAAGGCAGGAACAGCAAGGTCACTGTCCATGTTGTCAGTGAGCCCCAAGCCTCAGCTCCGACCCTGTGCTGACCTTGTGGCCGTAGATCACCTCCGAGAACCCAGGCCCATGCCAGTGGAAGGGCACCCCGGAGCCGGCTCCTGTGGGGTCAGTTATGAGCAGCTGGTGACCAAACCCAATCTGCACTCCCCCCCCCCCCCGCCGCCCCCTGAGTCCCCTCTCTTGCAGAGCACCCACCTGCGATCCCAAAGCTGTAAGCAGGAGTGGTGCCCAGCAGCCTGAATGGGGGTGGGGAGTAGTGCCGAAACAGTGATGCCCACTCCGTGAAGTTGTTGTCCCCAAAAAAGTACAGGGTGTCTACCAGCAGAGAACACAGGAGGACATAGGTATACTGGCACCTGGGCACTCCCAAATGCCCCCACCCTCCCCACAGCTGCCGAAGTCTGGCTCACCGTTGCCCAGGGAGGTGGGGTCCTGGGGGTGCAGCAGCTGCTCCACATACTCCCGGAAAGGGAGATCCACTGCGGAAAGAGGCCAGCCAGGACTAGCTGCTGCTGCCTCCAGGACGTTGGCAAGCAAGCTGGGCCGTGGGGTGAGGCTGCTCACCTTTCTGGTAGGAGTATGTGTTGGCAGTGCTCAGCCGGACCACGCTGTCCCCAAACGAGGCCAGCAGCCTTTGACGGGAGCACAGAGCGCGGAACTTCTGTGACAGAGGAGAGAAAACCTAAGGGCCAGGCCAGGCCCAGCAGGGCGAGGGGCGGCCGGGAGGGGCGCGAGCGCTCACCGAGTTGTCTGTGAGCCCCTGCAGGACGACGGGTCTGGAGAAGGCATAGCTAGAAGGAAAGGCAAAGTCAAGGCCGGGTCCGGCCTGCCTCCGCCCGTTCGCCCCGGAAGGTCACGGGGGGCGGCCTTGGGAGGTCCCGGTACGTCGGCTCCAGGAGCTCAGGGGCGGGTTCTCGGGAGTGGGAAGAGGGTCCGGACGCGGCGGGCACACGTACTGCTGCACGAACTCGGCATAGCTGAGGTCGGCCCGGCGTTCCACCGTGCAGCGCTGCTCCTCCGCCACGGCCGCCGGCACCCCCGGCCCGCACCGCTGCCTGCGGGCACAGCCGGTCAGCACGCCCCCGCAGCGCGCCCCGCTCCCGTCCACGGCCGCCCAACGCCGCTCACCACCCTCCGTCGCCCGCCTTCCCGGAGCCGGGCCGGGCCGGAGCCGCCAGCGTCCAGAGCACGAGCAGCAGCAGCCGCCGCCGAAGCCCCGTCGCCATGAGCCCTCCGCCGCGAAGCACGCCGGGAGCTCCGTCGTCGTGGCAACGACGCAAGCGCCCAGACGTCTCTCGGAAGCGGCATCCTTGGGCCCGCCCCGGAAGGGGGCACTTCCGGAAAGCGGGGGGAAGGCCCCATCCAGCGCGGCGACTGGCTCCTGCTAGTTCCCGTGGCGACCCTGCCCTGACCCCCAGCGTGGCCCGGCACGGGGACGGCCGTCGGCGGGACGGTGACAGGCGGCCTCAGACTGCAGCTCCGCGTCCTTTATTGGTTGACACGCCCAGCCCCACCCGCCGGCTGCCGTCAGGAGTACTCGCACAGGTGGCCGCAGCCCGCTGGGCAGTGCGAGCTGCCCTCCAGCCACTTCATGATGTGCTGCAGGTGGCCGCCGTGGCTGCAGCCCTGGCACCACACGAAGAGCCCCTTGACCACGTGGTGGCAGACGGCGCACATGCTGGCGCAGCGGTGGCACCGGTCGCAGACCCAGCCGCGGCTGCTCATGGGCCGCTTGCAGTGGCTGCAGTTGACGTGCAGGGTGGTGGAGGCCTGGTTGAGGCAGCTGACGGCGCGGCTGGTGCTCAGCTTGACCACCTGGTTGGACACGTTCCAGAGGCAAAAGCGCTGCAGCAGGTCGATGTAGGACGTGTACCAGTGCTCCTGCGGCGCGGGAGGGGCAGGAGGCAGGGTCGCGGCACACCGAGGGCTTTCACCTGCTCCGGGCGTGCGCGGCGCAGGGGCGGTACTGGGGGCGCAGCTGCTCCAAGGAGGCCCTCCCCCAACCCGGTCACCCACCTGGGTCTGCTCGTCGATGTCCTTGCGCACGCGTTCACCCAGCACGATGAGCACGGACACGGCCATCTGCACGTCACCCTGCTCGGCATAGAAACGCAGCATGTCGCACACCAGGGCGCTGAAGAAGTCAGGCGGCAAGCGGCTGTCGTAGAGTGCGTGCGAGACGGAGATGAGCGAGAAGGAGGAGTCCACGGGTGCCAAGGAGGCCGCATCGGCTTCACTGCCGCTCACATGGGGCGAGTCGGCCTTGTCCTGCAGGTGCTCGGGCCCAGGCGGCGTGTCCACTATCTCGTGGCGCAGCGGGAAGGCCTCCTGGGGCAGCACGTACTCGGGCTCCTCGGCTGCGAGGCAGGGGCGAGGGAGGCAGGGTCTGAGCCTGGGCCCCGCCCCAGCCTCGCCCCCAGCCCCGCCCCCGCAAGCACTCACAATGCGCGTGTTCCGGGTCCAGCAAGTACAGCTCGTCCTCCTCGCCCTCCACGTCGCCCAGCAGGTAGTCCGCAGGCACATCGCTGCCCTCGGTCTCCTCGTTATCTACCCGCGAGGGAGGGAGGGCATTCCAGGGGCCACTGGCTCTGGGACAGCCCAGCCCCGCTCCCATCAACACCCACGCCTGACCCCAGCCTACCCTCGTTGGTGATGAGTGTGGCCGAGGAGTCGAGCAGCACTGTGTCGCTCCGTGTGTCACCCTTGCTGCGGTCCAGCCGGGTCTCGCTGCCAAGCCCTGGGGCCATATCCTTCAGGTTGAAACTGGAAGCAGGGAAAGCTGATGGTGGGTGGCTGCAGCAGTCCTACCCTCTGGGGAGAGCCTGCCCCGGGTGTCTACCTGTTCATGAGCGGCAAGCCACAGGAGCTGCCCTTGCCCATGCTGTGGTTAAGGTTGGTGGTGGGCACCAGGCCAGGGCTACAGTAGATGATCCTTAACATGGTCCATGTCTGTGCCACCTAGGGGTGGGCATCAGTCACTCACAGGGGTCCTGGGTCCCCTGGTGCCCCATACAGGCCTCCTCTGCCAGATGAAACCATAAACCCTCAGCTTTCAGCTGCCTCAGGGACCCAATGTCCTGGCCTGCCCGAGGTTGGGAAACCTAGGCCCATGGGAAAGACAAAAACCCCAACCTTCATCCTGCAGGAGCACAGAAGGAAGCAAAAGTGGGAGGCAGCCAATGTGGAAAGAAGCCTGTGGTCCCAGGGAGACGATGAGAGAGGCATTGTGGACGTCTGCAGGGCTGGACGCCTTGGGAAGTCCGAATGAGCCACAAGAGGAGGCTCAAGCCCCATGACCACCCAGACCTGCACCCCAAGGATGGCACTGCTATCTGGCCAGCTCTGGGGCTCTGGGCACCCAGTTCCTGGGGTGAGGGCCAGTGCTGGCAATGGCCAAGCTGAGCACTGAACTCAGGGCAGGGTCTGGGTGCAGCAGTCGGAGGAGCCCCCGACCCTGCCCCAAGGTCATGGGCCCCGGGTGCCCCCTCACCCCAGCCCACCTACCTGGTTGCGGCCGAGCTCCCTAGCCACTTTTGCATTGTGGTCACAGAGCTCAGCCAGCGGCCGGCCAGCCAGGGCATAACGCTCAGCCGTGTCCACAAACCAGCTCATGCTGCCACTGCCAGGCTCCATCTCAAAGATGCTGAGGGCACTGGAGGCGAGGCCCGCGAAGGGCTCGGCAGGGTCCAGCTTGCGCTTGAAGAAGATGGGGTGGCGCCGATCACCAGCGTAGGGCTTGCGCCCCGACTCAGTGGCCACTAGGCTCTCCTTGGCAGCGAAGGCCAGGTCCCCAAAGAGGCCGTAGCAGAGGCCCTCAGGGTTGGCACGCTCAACAGGCTGGCTGGCATCACGGAACAGGTGCTGGCACAGCGTGCTGTCCTTGGAACCGGAGAGCAGGAAGGAGGAGTCATGCGGGTGGCGCCAGGCGATGCCTGTTGTGACATCTCGGTGCTCCTCGAACATGGCGGCTGGCACGAAAGGCCGGCGCACGTCCCACACGTAGATGTTGTGGTCCACCATCATGGAGCATGTGGCCAGGTGGTGGCGGCACTCAGGCCGCCATTTGACTCTGGCCACTGAGGCAATGGTTTGCACACAGTGCACCTCCTTGGCGCGGTGCGTGGTCATGTCCCAGACTTTCACCATCTTGTCACGCCCACCTGTGGCCAGCCAGCCCCTGCAGAAGGCCCATGAAACCCTCAGTGTCCTCTCCTGGGGTAGGAGGGCTCCCTACTGTCTGTCTCACAGGTCTTGAAGCAATGAGAGTGCCCTTCCTTCCAGGAGCCCCACCTATCCCGCCCTGCTGCCCCTGCCCTCACCCCACCCCACACCTGTCCTCGGGGTGCCAGTCGCAGCAGAAGACAGGCCCATTGTGAGCAGTGAACATTCTCTCACAGCGGTCAGGCCGCCGAATGTCCCAGAGCTGCACATTGCCATTCTCAAAGGTGGAGGCGAAGGTGAAGTAGTCCCGGATGCTGAACTGGACATCCCGCACACTCTCAGACTGGCCTGTGAGCCGGAAACCAATGGAGGAAGAAGATGAGGGGGCCTCCCCACAGGGGGCTCCAAGAGGGAGCGCGGCCAAGGTGGAGCCTTGGAGTGGCTGTAGATCGGTGTCACATGCCTGCCTGTGGCCCAGGCTGGGAGGCCTGGATGGTGGAGTGGACACCCTCAAGGACTGCGTAGGGTGGAAGGGGCGAGGAAAGGCCTCACAGAGCAGACACAACAGCCTGGGCCAGGGAGCTGGATACCAGGCATTGGATGGTTTTTGACACAAACTCCTGGACCTCGATTTTCCCCAGATTTTGCGTCTGATGTCAGTGGTTGTGCAAAGCTGTGGCTTGGCTTCAGGACTGAGTATCAGAGCACTGAGCAAACAGGAGCCTCACTGTGCCATCTGTCCACACTCCCTGGGGGTCCTGAGGCCCCCGAGGGAGGCCCAAGGAGGCACGGATGCGGGTGCCCCAGCCTCTGCCCAGTCTTTCACCTTGAGCTAGAGGTGCTGGGTCAGCCCCAGAGGACCAGAGAGGCCTTGAGGGCCCATGCCCAACCGTGTGGACTGCCACACCAAGAGCCTTTGAGGGCAGTGTCCAGCTTTCCCTCAGCACAGGTAGCTCAGGATTTGTCTTAAAAGGCCCCCCAATTCTCTCACGCCTCTGAGGGCCCTGTGCTTCACTTGGTTTCATTGAAGTGAACAAGGGAGAGCTAGCTCAAGGCTATCTAACAGGGAGCTGGGCCTGCTGGGAAAGGAACCCCGCCTCCTTTGCTTCCCTGGGCTGAGGACCCGGTAGACTTCCTGCAGTGAGGTGGCCTGGCGCTCTGAGGCAGGGGAAGAGAAGGCAGTGAAACAAACCCTCTGCCTGGGCACCCAGGTTGGCTGTGGTCTGCTCAGGCTCTGCCCTCTCCCTCATCCCACACCCAGCCTCGACTCCTGCTGGCCCCACAGGTGCATCAGAGCTGCAAGCACACTCCAGGTACCCCTCTCCTCCCCTGCTGATCCCCACCCACTCTTGCAGTGCTCGGCTGGCCCCTCCTCCAGGAAGCCGTCTGGCAGCACAGCTGAGGACCTTTGATGCACACGGCACTTTTCAACCTGCCTGGACAGGCCAGCCGCCTGCAGAGACACAGACCTGCCCGACCTGCCTCCCAGGACCTCACCTGAGAAGGTGCTGACAGAGTCCTTCCTGCGGAGGTCGAAGCACTTCATGAAGCCGTCCTGGGAGCCACTGAGCAGCACGTGGGCCTCAGTGGGGTGGAAGCAGACTTTGTTCACCGTGCGCTTGTGCTCCGTGAACAGCTGGTCCTGCTTGTTGCGAGATGGCCGGCCCAGGTTCCACGTGACCACCACGCCGTTGGTGGCCGCTGTGGCCAGCAGGTTCTCATCCATCTGGTGCCAGACAACATCGGCGCAGCTCAGGTTGAGTGAGGGCTTGCGGCCCACACGCAGGTTCAGCTTCTCCACAAACTGCTCCTCCTCAATGGCATAGATCTTGAAAATGCTGCGGCCTGCCACGACCACCTGGGCCGCGTCACGGCACACACTGATGGCATTGGCCGGCGCATCCAGGTGGCAGTGCATGGTGCGGCCCGTCAGTGCACTGCCACCCAGGGCCGTGGTCACTCGGGACATCTTCTCCATGGCTGCACAGGTGGTGGGCACAGGAGGTCAGTGAATTGGGCTGGCCAGGTCAGCCTAGGGGGAACTGTCAGTTCAGATCCTTCACCCTGGTTGGGTCCCCCAAAACTGCGTAGGCCTGGGCTGGTCGCTCTGGGTGAGCCAGACCAGGGCAGTCCACTGTTACTCAGTGGTCAGTCTGATAGGCGAGTTCCATCACCCTGGCCGGGCGGTGAGAAGGCGCCGTGGCTGCCCTGAGGCTGGTCTGTCCCATGTCTGACTTCTGGGGACGACCTTACCTGGTCAGTCCCAGCCCAGGCCACCTCTCCATGCCCCCAACGGTCAGATCTGGACGGTCGCTGGACCTTCGGTCATTCAGTCCCAGCAGGGAAGAGAGGTGGTCCCCACCGTCCACACAGTCGGCCTCCGGGAGGGGGCGGAGGGCTGCGGGGCGCGGGGGACACAGAGGGACCTCAAGGACCGAGCTGTTTAAGGAGCCCGAGGGGTCTGGCAGGGCGGGAGAGAGGAGACGCCGGCGGCGCGGACTCCTGCGGTCAAGGGCGGCGCGGGGGAGCGGAGGCGGCGGGAACAGAGCCTGAGGACCCGGCGAAGCCTCGCGCTCCGCCAGCACCCGAACTATTTCCTAAAATTGCACGGCCGGGCCGGGCCGGAAGCACCGTGCCGGAAACAGCTCGTCTCTTTCCTGGCCCTCGCCGGAAGTGGTCCGTTTCTTGTCAGCCCCTCGCCGGAAGCGGGCGCTCACACCACGAAAGTTCCGGATCTGGGAGCTGCGCTGGTGGAGGCGAAGGAATGGTCCAAGGACTGGGGTGGGGGTGCTTTCCCGGCTCCGCCTCGGTGGTTGGTCTTTTTATCGCAGTATTCTAATACCAGTGTTCATCTCTCCTCCAAGTCCACCAGCAAGTCCGGGCATCCCTCAACGAGTCCCGAATCGCGCCAGTCGTCTCCACCTCCTTCCTCGGAGTGGACCCCGGGAGCAGTCTCCGCACGGCTCTCCCTGGTCCCTCGTTCCCCCGTCTGACCCCCGCCCGGCACCCAGGTGCCGCTCTTCAGCCTAAGGCCCCCCGAGATCCCCGCCGCGCTGTGAATAAATCCCAAAGCCGCGGCCTCGTCTCTGCCGGCACGTTCTCGCCGCGGCGGCTCCCGCCCGCCCGCTGTGCTGCCTCGAGGCCGCTGCGCGTGCCGTGCTCGCTCTCCTCCGGACCGCGCCTCCTTATCACCCTTCGGGGTTCGGCCTGCGTGTCACCTTCTCAGAGGCCCTCCCTGGTCACCGCATCTAACGGGGCCTCTCCACTCACTGTCAGCTCCGCAGCGCTTGTCACAACCGTTCTTTGTTTACTGGTTATTGTCGCACACCAGTGTGAACTCCACCAGGCAGGGATCCAGGGGCTCCATGCCTGACACGACCTGTTCACGCAACCCGTTCAGTCAGTGACCCTCTCTCAGCCTCCCTTCCTCTCCTGGGCATGAGTCCTGGTCGGTCCGTGCTGCCCTGTGATCTTTTAGGACATCCCTGCCCCTCTCTTACCCTTAGTTACTTTGTGCATGAAACAGGGCTCATTTTTGCCCTTCTGGAAGGATGGGCTAAATCCTAGAAATTTGGAGGAAATATTCTGTGTGATGACTTTAATGTCTGTCTCTCCCCCTTTAAGCAATGAGAGGTTAGAAGCCTGTGTTGGTCACTGCTGGGTTTCCAGTCTGGCACAGTGGCACCCAGCCTCTGCATGTTTGTTGAAAGGACCAGTAAGTCTGATGAGTTGAGAGGCGCACAAGAATCCACAGACTGGGCCACCCAGGGCAGAGACACCATTCCCCGCCATGGGCTGATGACCTAAAAACAACTCAGACACGTCTTTTTACAACTTTTTTAATATATATTTTTATAAACAGTTCACATGATAAAATAGCACAAGAAACACTTACCAAATATAAGGTTATATCTTCCGCATATACAGGAGAATGAGGTCGTTATGTACAATAAGAAAATGATTTTAGGGGTTGGTTGGTTTTGTTTTCCTCTCTCCCCTTAATTTTTCTTCCTACAGTCGTTGGAAATGTCACAGCTTCAGTTGCATTAATACTTTGGACAAATGGACAGCTGCCCCCTCCCCACTAGGGAGCTGCGGGGAGGAGGGGCTGAAGAAACTGGCTCCTGACCCCTCAGCCCTGGAGCCTCTGGCCGGCACTCCAGGCGCGGGAAAATCTTTGGGCTGTTGAACTGTTTCTTTGCTTCAACAGCATCTCTCGCTCGCTCGCTCGCTCTTTCTCTCTCTCACTCTCTGGCTCTCTGGAAACTGGTTACTCTCTTCCAACCAGATGGGGGGGGTGTCCCAAGATTGAGTGTGTGTGCTGTATCTCCTGGGGCTCAAGGATGGATGGAAAGGGGTCCCAGCCCCCTCCTCAGCAATTGCTAAGATGTGCCAGCATCCCCCAGGGCTTCCACATGTCTTGGGATCGGACAGAACACGGTCAGCGCCCATTTGGGCAGGCAGAGGTTTGGGAAGCTGTGGAGGGTTGGGGGGCGGCTAGGAAGGAGCCCTCTCTCCTCTGGGTGCTGAGGGTGTGCTGGCCACTGGAAGATCAGTTGCTGTCTGGCGCTGACCCTGAGCCTTGGCTGGGGCCCACTTTTCCAGCTTACCCCTGATGGAGACCTGCCCAGGGTGAAGTGTAGCACTGAGGAGTCTGAGCCTAGCTGGCTACAGGGGCTGTGGTGTGGGGTCCACCTAGGACTGCTCTCAAGGCCTGCAGGCCCTGAGGGTCGCTCCAGCTTAGGGTCTCTCAAGGTGGCTTTGCCACCCCTGGGTTGAGGTGGACTGGAACCGCCTGGGCTAATGTTGATTATGCCAAGGTCACTGTCAGTCAGTCAGTCTGCCCCTCTCCCACCCCAATTCTCCCCTAGCCTGGCCAGGGCCAAGGACCTGTAGACCTGCGGGTGGAAGCGGGGCGAGCAGGAGACTGCCTCACACAATGGCAAGGAAGAAGGCAGGTCGCTTGGGCCACGCTGGCGTGTTAGGGGAAGGGTGGGTGGGGCTTAGGCTCCTGGGCGGCGGCGGGCCATGGCTTTGGGGTGGCCTGTTTACCCCTCGCGCCCCTCGAAGGGCTCCAAGTGCGGTGCAGTGGAAGATGCGGGAAGCCCTGGGGGCTCTTCCGGGCCCCTGTGTCCCGGGGGACCCAGCCCCAGTTAATCCCCCTGGGCCCTGCCCGGGATGGGGGGACAGCGGGTAACAGAGCGGGGGGGCAGGGGGGCGGGGAAGGCGGTAAGGGCGGCCGTCTGGCGAGCTCAAAGCGCCCCCAGGACCGCGCCCTGGCCCTCCGCAGCGGGCTGGCAGACGATGGAAGCGAGCATGGCGTGTGAAGGGCAGGCGTGCAGTGCGGGCACGAGGGGCATGCACAAAGTCCCCGAGTGTGCGTGCGTGCGTGCGTGGGTGGGGCTGGCCCCGCCCGCCGCCCCACCCTGCCCGGGGCGGGGCCACGAGCGGAGGGGCGGTGGCTGAGGCGGGGCCTCTCCTCGGTTCGCCCCGCCTCCCGCGCGGGCCGAGGGCGCGGGGGCTCTCCTGAGCGCAGGGCTGGGAGAGGGGGCTCAACCGCGCCCCCGCGCCCCGCCGGGAGCGCGGCGGGTTCCTGCGACGGGGGCGGGAGGCCCCGCGCTACTCGATGACGAGGCAGCGGGGCAGGTGCTGCGAGAAGTACTTGAAGAGCTCAGGGGTGGCCCCAGGGCAGTTGGTCAGCTCCAGCTCCTCCAGGTCCTGCAGCTGCACCAGGCCCGACAGCCCCGTGGTGGTCAGCAGTGGGCAGCCTGCGGGGGCGGGAAGCGGGGCGGCGGCTGAGTGGGCGCGGCCCGACAGGCCAGGCGGGGCCAGGCCGGGGCTGGGCTGGGGTGCGGCTGGGCGGGGTTGGGCCGGGATCGGAGCTTGCGTCGCGTCTCCGTCCCCTGACTCGGACCTGGGACACAGCGAGTCCGCCTCAGGTATGAGTTTGCACAAGGGACCTGGCCGGGCTGGCGGAGTCGGACTAGGTGGGTGGGTGGTCACTGTCCAGGAGGGCGGCAGGGGCTCTCACCTGCCAGAGACAAGAGACGCAAACTCCTCATGGCCAGGAGGTGCTTCAGCCCGAAGTCCTGCACCTGGACGGGAGGATGGGGCGAGTTAACTATTTCCGCTAGTGCCTTGGGGGAGCCCCACTCCAGGGGTCAGGCAGAGGGCGGGGCTCAAAACGGGGGTTTTTCAGCTCCCCAAGGAGCCCCCAGGAGGTAGCTGGGGAGTGCGGTGAGGGCCCTGGGGATCCGTGCGCTCCGCTTACGTCGGCCGGTGGGTGTGGAGGGATCTCAGACTTCTTTACAGGATCTGAGTGGTCTGGGAGCAGGTCAGGATTGTCTGGCCAGGGACTCTCCCCGCGCCCCCCACCTCCCTTGCCTACTCCCCAATCTCGGAGGCGTGGAGGGCCGGTACCTGGCAGCACCATCGCAGGTAGAGGCTGCGGAGGGACGACATGGTGGACAAATAGCTCAGGCCAGTGTCCGTGATGCGAACACACCTGTGGTTGCAACAGAACGGGGCTGCCACCTTCAAAACACCTCGCGCCGCCTCTCGGCTCGGACCCGTTCCTCCTTTTCCCGGAGTGACCCTGGCATGAACTCCCCTTCGACCCAACACAATAGCTCCTCCCTTCCCGTAGCCCCGCCCCGTCCAGGCTCCGCCCCCTCCCGTGATCCCCCGTTGGTATCACCCACTCCAGAGGTCGCCGGTTCAGCCCCACCCTGTTACAGCCACATCCCAGCTCGCGTTTTAGGAAGGCCCCACCCCTCAACTCGGTCCCTACCCCATGCGCAGCCCCACTCTAGCTACAGGCCTGTCCACTAGTCTAGGCTCCCTGCTTGGAAAGTCCAGCCGACCCTGCCCTCCACGGCCACCACGGCACACCTGTCCAGCACGAGCTCCTCCAGGCGGTGCAGATCGCAGGCAACGTACTCCAGCGCCATGTCGGTGATGCGCGGGCACCATGAGAGGTCGAGGCTGCGCAGCTTGCGCAAGTTCTCGGCCACAAGCTCGACGCCGTCGTCGGTGACCTTGGAGCAGCCTGAGAGGCTGAGCGCGGTAAGGTTGGGCAGGCTGTGCACCACGTTGACCACGCCGTGGTTGGTTATCTCCCAGCAGGAGAGCAGGCGCAGCGTGTGCGTGCTGTGGCCCTGACGCGCCGTGAAGTAGGCCAGCGCCGTGTCCGTCACGTGGTAGGCCTGCAAGCTCAGCTCAGCCAGGTTGGGCAGCAGCTGCGAGATGGCTGCGATGGCGTCGTCGGCCACGTTGATGCAGTCGCTGACGCTCAGCGAGGTGATGCGCGCGCTCAGGCTGGACCACAGCCCCGCCTCGGTGAAGTCGTTGCAGCCGGACAGCTCGAGGCGTACTACGCCCTGCATCTGCTCCAGCATCACCTGCGGCGGGCAGGCGCAGGTTCAGGAGGCCTGACCTCGCCACCGTGCCAGCCGACCTTGGTTCCCCGGGGCATGCCCTCCCTGCAGGGTGCGGTGAGGATGGTGGGATATGGGGCAGAAGG